CGACAGCAAAAGCACAAGGGAAAACTTATCCAGAACATGGTATGTCTTGCCCTTGAGGTCCTTGGATATTCTATTTTTATTTAATAACACCATTCCAGGTCGGATTCCGCTATACTTATTAGTTACCGTTTCTGGTTATATGCGGCAAGGCCATATTAGAATCAAAGAAGATATACATAGTTATATATATGATGACGACTCAAGATCAGTGATAAGAAAATGAACGTGCAGCATTGATCGAATTTACCAGTAGTACTAGCCCCATCATGAATCTTGAGAATCGTCGTCATGGAGTAGCAGTATTCTGGATTAAGTGTGATTGCACTATAGAATATTAAGAATCTAAAGAGGGCACTACGTAAGGGGTGTTATGTTAGTGTGTAGTATATTATGTCATCTCAAACTGAGCCGGGCATGTAACAGGATGTCGTATATAGTAAATATGACGCTTACTTAAAGATAATCAAGGTGAGAGAAATGTGCTTCCAATGAGATTTCACCTTACTGTGATCTGTCATCAAAGACCAATTCATTCTCCAGTATACAGCAGACCCGATAGTATATGATATAATATATAAAAAATAAAATATATAAAAATATTATTTCATATATTTAACTACTTCTGTTCTTCGTGCTTAATACAATTATCTTTAGATAATTATATATTTGAAAGCTTAGCTATAGAATACTCATCTATTCTTATTTATACATAAGTACGCGGTATTATTCAGACTTATTTCTTTTCTTTCATTTATAACTAAGTTACTTCTTAGATAATGATCAGTTAATTTCTTCTTAATATAGTTTAACAGTACATATACCAACAGGGCTAAGCTAACTGGGACAGAGAAGCGATCCTAGGATTTGACAGTACTGCTTGGGTGAGCTCAGGATAAGAGCTGCTTTACTGTCGCGCGACCAGGATTGGCTTAGGGTAAATATAATGATAGTAAGGATGAGCCTGCTCACCCAACTAATCTCTACAAATAAATAATCAAGAAATCTTGAGAGTCACAGTGGAGTGACTAACAATCAGGTCAGGTCAGGCCAGCTCAAAATTCAAGTTAAGTGTGGAGTGATTATATCCGACTGTTATATCTCATTTGTACCCTAACTGTAACCTAGCAATTAGAATGAATAATTTAGATAATGATCTATGTCTTTCTGACTAGCAGCTACATCTGAGTAAATGATAATTAGATCAATTTTTTAGTAAAATTTTCCATGGCGAAGTCTTTTCAGCGCCCGTTCGCATGCCTTTTTTTTTTTTTTAAATGCATGTTCGATTTTCGCACGTACTCTGTGGCGGCCCAAATCCCAAGCTCCTGGTTAATGCTTTCCGAAGTCTGTATGAAGCGTCTGATATGTTTGAGTTGCTTGCTCTTCATCTTCAGAGGACAAAATACCACATAACTTTTCCAGTATTGGTGCCTTGACAGTGCAGTTCGTAATCGTATAAGAAGGTTGGCGCGGCAATCTAAGTGGGCGGTTTGTGAATGGCAGGAGCTGCGCGTAGTATTGGCGAGGGGTCTTGCATATACTGCCCAGGTTGCTTTCCACGGTCCTTGATAATTATAACTCAGAGTTCGCATATAACAAGCATGATAATGGCAGCCAATAACTTACTCTAAAGATGACAAGTCGGATAAAATATAGAGAAGCAGTCAGACCAAGTATCTTCGGTAGATTTTGTGCACCACTTTGGTGCTTTTTATGGTAATGGTCCTGCATTATCTTGTTCGCAACATGATCCCTTTCACAGTGGTGGGCTAAATATGGAGTCAGTCTCTCTGAGTCTTACCTTCATCGAATATGAGTAAAGAGGTTTGGCTCAGTTTAACAAAACCATGGGATAGTGCGTCATATAGAACCTGATATGTCGAAACTGCAATTTTATTTTCAACAAGGCATTATCCCATATTGTCTTCTCTTTCCAGTATTCCACCTGATCGCTACTGGTGAACCCTCTGCACCACATAGAAGGAACACGGTTTCGTATTGTATGTATATGCTGCTCAGATAAAGCAACTGTGGGACAGAGTAGCCATACGAACTAGTAATTATTAGTTACAGCACCTCTAGAGCAAGTGTCTCCTTTGTCTATGTCTGCCAGAATCCGTAATATGGCTCTGTTGCTCCTATTAGCCATACAGTCAAAGCCGTAGTAAGACTCATCATACACTTGTGTTTTCCCAGTACCTGTTGGCATCTTCCTATATGTTAATATGTAATATTCGCTCTGGGGGCAGTGATCATACCACAACGATTACATTACGTTTCAAACTCTCGTTCACCATCTCCTATTGATACTCTCTGATTCTAAGTTCCATATTGGCTGTCGGCCCCGGCGTACTGTTTGCATGGTAATCGATAGATGAGGCCATTTTGGGATTCGAGAGAAAATAACTGTGTGTTCCTTGTGACTCAACTAAGAGAGATACCCTGAAAGTATGTAGTAGCTTGCGCCCATCCTCAAGGATAAGAAGTATCAAATATATCGATAGCTGCCGACGCTTATATACTATAAGGCTGGTTGGCCCCTCAGAAAAGGACACGCATCACTGCCCAACACATTATCATTATGAGGGCGTGGACCCAATCATGCCCGAACACAATGCTAACTGTGCTTTGATCGCATATTCCAGCAGAAGGTCGTATAGTACCTAATCTAGCCCTTCCGTAGGGGTTCAGAGAAGATACACGAGATACGGGAGAAGATGTTTGGGTGGAGGGGGGAGGGGCGACATAATAAACGGACGATCTAGATCGAGCAATTGCTGGCGCGGAAAGGGCTGGCAGCGTAGAAAGAGCCTAGCAATATTTGAATAAGCAGAAAGTTATGGCTCAGAATTCCCACACTATGCAGCCAACAGTCTGCGCCTACTGCCAGGGCACAGGGATTAGTGCGGTCGAATTACCAAGTAGACCTTTCACTGAAGCTAACTTGAGGCTTTATGGTGCAATTGCCATCACATATGAGCGGGCTTATCAATAAAGGCTAAGGCAGCATGTGGCCTCGGGAACTGTACTCGCACTAGGTAATATGAGAAGACAAGCGTGCTTCCTAGCAGGGTTACGTCGTGCCGTACACTCGATTGGCAGAATCTCCATTCATCCTGTTTGGTAAAAGTAATTGTCTTTATTAAATTTGTGCTCCCTGCACCACACAGCCTTCGCACTTGGTAAATGTCGCACCGAGAGAGAGAATAGAATGCAAGTATTCTTAGATGTGAGAAATGAGTACCAAGTTTTCCTGGGTCGCGAATTGTAAGAGGTAGGTAGTTGTCTAGTCTCCAATTTTAGGGCGAGGCTTCGTGCTTAGGATTTTAGCAGTGATATGCTAAAGAACGCCACAAAACCTCCGGTTCCTCTTCTACGCAATCTACAGGCTTTTCCAATTGATTAAGCCACGTACTCCGAAGTAGACAGGCATAATCCGCTGGTATGGCTTGGCATTGCTTGATATCAGTTAAGAGCAGTAACTATTTGCAAGAGTGGGTCCTGCGACTGATCATGGTTTCTTGTAACGAAGCAAAGAAACCCTCTTCTTGAGCCGATTATCCGGAACTGAAGTCATGATCCATCCAAAGCGCATGGAGCTGCATAGGCCGGATCTTAGGTAACTCTGAGTCAGATAACTAACTAAGCTGTAGAGAGGTGATTAACTAACTAGTGGCCTGTTAGTCACGTAAGGAATAAGGCAACACTACGGAGTTAAGTGACTCCAACGAGGCGGTGCATGCAAACTAGAATACCCATTGGAATATTAACAATGGTCGGTCGACCTATTGTCGTAAAAGGGAAATATAGCAAGGGCCGCAGAGCGCGTATGCAGCGCCTCTTCTCAGTTAATGCCTGTATAGCTACTGTACTGTTCAGATTGACAGAAGGTGGGAATCCACCTTCTTCTGCGGGGTACAAGATTCCTTACTCCGTGGAGCAATGGCCATCTCTAAGCCACCAACTAGTGGATTGACTGGACCAGTTTCTCTCTTCCGCCCCACTTAATATGTGCGCATGATAAGAAAGTAAAATTGCGTTATGGCGGTCCCTCTATATGTCCACAGACTAGCAACTGACGATAATTATTTTCTAAGAATCAGAGCCTGCCAAGGATTCAGAATCTTTCTTCTCCTTTCAGTAATCTCAGTATCAAGGAACTAGTTGATCTGCCTCAGAACAACGCGTGGCCTAGTCCATTTTCTGGTCAAGATATTCCAAGATACCTTACTACTGCATACATACATGGCTTATCAGGTAAGCTTTTTAGAACCTTCGTGAACATTACCCAGAAGTCGCATTCTTAGCCCCAGTGTTGTAGGGTGAGATTTATTTAAATCCTTTAGCGCCTCATTTATAGACTCTTTACGCCATATGGGCGCATGGTCAATCCGTCTTGTCTACTTACGAACCATAGCAGACATAGCCTTGTCCGTTATGGACCTGTCGAGTGACGGTCAACAAGGCTTGCTGGCAGACTTCGGGGGGTTGCTGGGTATTAGGAAATGCACGGACATTAGTTGAGTGAAGACACTGGGACCAATAATAAACGGGGGATAACTACCGTAGAGACGATAGTACTAAACTACTTAATGAAAAGTACGTACTTGGGAATATGGATGGTGGTCTGTATCAATTAAATAGATGAACAGCGGCTTCTGCCAACTCACTCATTAAAAGGGTGGACATACGTCGATACCTACGGAGTACTATGAACCAACCTTACTACGGCGGATCCCCCCCCCCGGCCCGGCGGGGATATCTGCCAAATAGATGTACGGAGCACTAAATACAGACTGTGTACGCCGTGGTACGGAATTTAACCCACTCGTCAAATGTTAAGCACAAGCCGCACTATTTAAACCAGCTCCACAACGCGCTCCATCGACCGAAGTTGAGAGACCAGCGGCTTGTCACGTTGACGAGTGGCGTTAGACTCCTTGGCAGATCTACTTTGATTCTCGTCTTATACAATAATCGCTCAGCGCCCAACGACCTCAATGGACACAATTGTTCCGAAGGCTCTAAAGAGAGGAGACAAGATAGCCTTTATCTCGCCATCTGCACGCCTCAATGACATCCTACCTACTCCCCTCGCACGAGGAAGAGCCTGTCTGGAGTCTCTAGGCTTCCTTGTGCAGATTATTTTCTCTAGCCAAGCAACAGCCACAATCGCAGAATCTATCCGCCTTCGATGCGAGGAGATCCATGCCGCATTCCGTGATAGTACGATTGCCGCCATTGTTTGTACAATTGGCGGCGCGCATGCTAATGAACTGTTACCTTTTCTTGATTACTCGCTTATTCGATCAAATCCTAAAATCTTTGTTGGTTACAGTGACACCACCTTCCTGCATTATGCAATCCAATCTCAGACCGGCTTGCGCACGTTTTACGGACCCAGTATTCTTACAGATTTTTCGGATTTTCCCAAGCCTATACAATTCACAATCGACCACTTCGTCCATGTACTGACTAATAATACGGGAATGCCAGTGGGTCCACTTCCTCGGTCTCCTATATGCTCGAATGATCATAGCGACTTCTTTTTTGGCAAAACGATAGATGAAAGTCAGCGCGAATTCATAGATTCACCGTCGTGGAGATGGCTTCGGAGAGGTCGAGCCACTGGATATCTATATGGGGGCACTGTGACCTGCGTTGTGCGTCTTCAGGGAACTCACTACGCCCCTGCCTCGTGGAAAGATAAGATTCTCTTTCTTGAGTCTGCGATGGGTGATAACATGCAACTGCCGTATTCTGTATCCCAGTTTCGGAATAACCTTGTTGATCTTGCTCTGTCTGGCATATTGCATGAAGTCCGCGGACTGGTCATTGGGCGCGGATACAAATATGATACTCATATGCAAGATGAGCTTGCAAGTGTGATTGAGGAAGTCTTTGATATAATTGTTGGTCGCAGTCATGAGGAGCAGCTGCCGATTTTGATGAATGTTGACTTTGGCCATACGAGCCCGTTCCTGACTCTGCCCATCAACACCCTCGTTAGATTAGACTGCGATCTCGATGAGTTTAGTGTTCTGGAACCTGGGGTGCGGGCCTGACGAGGTAACTGTACTGATTGCGCTTATGTCTGTAGATGAACTCATCTGTGCAGTTGACTGGAGGGCTGTCATGTAGCAAAAATATAAGGTTGCTGATGTTATATAAATTCGCTAGGAATGAGGTTGTCCTCACACGGCAGGGCTAAGGCAGAGATCAGATTATAGATGTTTAATAATTTTTAAGCTTACAGCATACTCTATTTCCCTATACATAACGAGAGTGAGATGCACGACATGCCGAAAAGTGCTACTATCAAACAAAGCGCTTCGCTACCGCTCTCCTCCATAGTATGCCACCTCAGCTCTTTCCGCTTCTTCTATCAGCTTGTATGATATTGTATTCATTATGGTGTTTTGGGTGACCGCTTGAACCGGACCACCATCTTAATTAAGAATTAGATACATTATAGAATTTCAGACTAGTTATCTTGTCTTATTAGTATGCCTGAATAACCCACTCGCTTCTATTCTGTTCTTATGTATTGCGTACGGAGTACTGTGTTCCAAAATTACTGAACAGCCACTATACCATCATACCATGCTATTGCGCCTTCTCACGCCACTGTTCTCGGATGGGAATAGCCCGCCCAACAATTTCCCCGCATTAGAAGCATGACAGTAGGGCCTGGAACAGAGTCACTGTGTATGGATTAGTCAAGACAATCTCGAGAATTCCCCTTTTGCTGGTTCCATCTCCTATTACTATGCCATGTGCCACCGCCCCTTGAGGTAGGTAAATACATGAATTCTGGACACGTGTTGTTACATCTATGACTCTACGGCCCCTCTCTCTCCACAACCGCATACCCGTGCACCGCCTCCTCCAACGAGATATTCTCCGAATAATACTCGGATTCACGCGCCACAATCGTCTGACTCCCCAGCGACGGGACATGCGATCCGCGCGACTGACTGTTATCTCCGAGTCGGGAGAATCCCTCCGGAGTCTTGCCATTGGCCTGGTTAGTTGGATAGCGGCGCTGGTAGTAGCGCTGCGGAGTCTGGGAGGATCCCTTGCTGCGTAGCCGTTGAGGGAGGATGCGCATGATCAATGGCCAAATGGGTGGGAGACAGGCGGCGATGATGATGATGCCGCCTTCTAGGATGGTCCAAATGCCGAGGTCGGTGGATGTCCCTGTATTGTATTTAATAAGTGGTTAGCAGGATTATTTATGGATTAGGAACAGGGGACGGACGTACAGGTTGGGTCGGTCGTGGCGTTTTCTTGGAAGAAGATTGTCATTCGTAGAATACTGGCTACGGTTCCTCTGGTGGGGGGTTAATTCATTCCGGTGATGTTGGGGTGGTGAAGTATGTAGTACTTACAAACTGCCGAGAAGAAATACTCCAGTTAAAGCTAATTTCTGCCCCATTCGCGTGTGTAGTTTCCAGACGTATGGTAATGGCATGATCAGGATGAGGACGTCTGTCAAGATGTTTGGCGGTGACACGTAGCGGTAGAAGGCCAATTGATTGAAGCACGATCCTCCTTCTATGGTTTTGTTCCAGACGTATGCTATCGGCCAGCACTGGAAGATGGCTGCAAATAGGATGCCGAGGCCGTGTCCGAGCACGATGGCACCGACTATATAGGCCAGTATATTGAATGATCGAGTGGTGAAGATCCGGAGGTAGAAGACCAGGATGGATATCTTGGCTGGTGTGACTGTAAAGGGGAAGTCGAGAATCTCATTGGCGTACAGGCCCTGAATTATGTTGAGTATGCATCTCCGAGTAAACAACCAAACAAGATGGTTATACCTTCTCCAAAATCACCAGCTTTTCAGGCGTCTCTTCGACATATTCCATGTGATGTCCGACTCCTGCGAGCTTGACCACTATGCGAAAAGAAACCCAACGGTCAGTGCTTGGTCTCGTTATTATCGAAATGTTCCACTTACAGATAATGTACAAAGCTGATTGGCCTAAGCTGGCGATCTGCAGAAAAATGTAAGCACAAAACAGTAGTAACCAGAAAGATAGGCAAGTACCAATGCCAGAAGAATTAGGTAATCATCGAGAGCGAAGGCCAGCTGCTGCAGACGTCGTCGTGTATAAAAGCGTGCTATAACCACCACGATCTGAACAACGGCAATCGCAACGGACACGCCTATCAGCGCATCGCCGTTGTATGGGACATCAGAATCAGATCGTGCATTCATCGCCACCTGAAACTCGACTTTTCATCTGCCATTAGAGGTCCCAGGCTGCTACTTCAACAATTGCACGCATCTGCAGTCTGCAGCTCTCATCAAAGCAAGAGGACATTGAAGGGGTGAGGGAATTTCATCTTTTCATTGCGCACAGGGCCAAGACCACAGCTGTTAGCTTCAAGCGTGTTCCTTGGAATGAGAGCATCCGGCTTCACTGGGACCGTCTTTGAAACTCTTGGACGATTGGATCCAGTCAATTACATAATGCAATGTTGAGTGTGCCGTGCTGGTGCCACTGGCAAAAGAGTATCCAAGTCAATGGTTCTCGCATCATTCGCGAAACTCAATCTCCGCCGATCCCCACATGGCTTTCGGATGGCTTGCACAGACTCTGGAACCGACCCTCGATCCGATACTATGCCCACATATTATGCCGCTGAGTGTCCAGTTCCTGGCAGATTTGTGTCCACTAAGGCACGCTAGCATCGTGCTCCGGCTCGATCTCCCATCTTATTCGTTATCGGGTATCCTCCATCACGCGAGTCAGGGGCCCCACGCTTGCAATTCCTCAGCTTTTGTTCCGATTATCCTTTCATCATACTAAAGCCCTCTATCCGCGACATTTGATGTTGGCTCCTGTATGTTCACCCGTCCTTGCAGGATATTGCATCTAGCCACCAAAGAACGAGCAAAACAGCACGAGGAGCCGGACTAGAAAATGTCTCTTGATCGTCAGATATCAGAGCTAACAAGCGCTGTCCAATCTAGCAGAGATGGAATCGACGATAGCACCCGGTTCAAGGCCATCAAAGCCGCACAGGGGTTGCTGGCAGCTTTGGGCTCTCCAGCCGAGACAGTCATTCAGGATGTCGTTATGGTAAGTTTTCAGAAGTATGCTGTCCATTTCCGTTGCTGCCAATTGACATGTGTGAAAAGAATTCGGTCCTTCTTATGGCACTTCGTATGGGTGTCCAGCTCGATGTCTTCAAGACTATCAGAGATAACCAAAATCATGCAACCACCACACAGCAGATCGCCAACAAATCTGGCGCAAGTGTAGTTCTCATGGGTAGATCTCCCTTATCTTATCAATCTCCATATTAGCCCTCATCAAATGTGAACTCGTGGGTCGGCGATGGATACACGCTTCTTTTCTCTGCGGTCCCACTCTGGAAGGGTCGATTGTAATATTTTGCAGATGCACCTGCATGGAATGCGCTCAACACATATGCCGACAAAAGCCCGAATAATGAATACTGACATGGCACCACCTAGACCAAATCATGAGGCTGCTTGCAGCTTCTGGCTACGTTCTGGAAGAAGATGTCCAGTCATACAAACCATCACCCCTCACAATGGTAATGGCCGAGCCTACCTTCGAAGCCACAACTCGAGCATGGTAAGCCCCTCAGTCACACCACCATGCCAACACACCCTCATCTGATACCACTCTAGCTTCGATATTGGCAACTTCTGTACCACGAGAGCCCCGGAGTTCTTCCGCAATAACAACAACCAGTTCCCCAAATCCGCCAAAGACACACCCTTCCAGCTCGCGATGAACACAGAGCTCAGTTACTTCGAATGGCTTGGTCACAACCCCTCCCTGGCAAAGGACTTCCAACAATGGATGACCCTGAAGCAGCAAACAACCCCGAACTGGGCCGACTGGTTCGACATCAAAGGCTCCATCACCGACGGTTTCAACGACTCAGCGAACAACGTCCTCCTCGTCGACGTCGGAGGAGGCGAGGGCCATTACCTGCATGCCTTGAACGAGAAAATCCCCACCCTTCCCGGACGTCTCGTCCTCCAAGACCTGCCACACGTCGTATCAAGCATAAAGACTCCCCCGAATGGAACCGACCTGATGCCTCACGATTTCTTCACCCCGCAGCCAGTCAAAGGTTCGATGCCTCCATGATCCACACACAAATCAAGACCGTGATAAAACACACCGACGCTAATTATCTCGCGCAGGTGCTCGGGCATATTATCTGCACTGGATCCTTCATGACTGGGCCGATGAGCAAGCCCGCCAAATCCTCACCAATATCGTCGAAGCTATGGAACCTGGGTATTCCCGCCTCATTATTAATGAGTATATCATACCGGATAGACACTGTGATTTTCCCACTGCGTGCATGAGTATCATGATGATGGTCCAGGTTGGCGCGTTCGAGCGGTCTGAGAAGCAATGGCGTGAGTTGCTTAACTCTGTTGGTCTGGAGAAGATTGTTTTCCATCAGCCGCCTGGTGGTGGGGAGGGTGTTATTGAGGCTGTCAAAAGCCATAAATGAATGGAATGCTGTATATAGATAGATTGTCGAGATTTGATGACGGGAATGATAGGAATGTGAAGTCTCCATCTAAGATGGTCACATGGGACTCGTGACTACACATTTGCTTATATAGGCCAACGTAAAAACTTCATGTCCTACTATACTTTTACGGCATCTTGTTTCATTAAAGGAACCATTGCGGTCGAGCAGGTAGTATGTACAAATGTTGGCTGGCTCTGAAATATTCGAACCCATTTCGTTTCTCTAGCTTGGAACAAATATAGATACATCAACGAGGTGCCTCGGGGTATATGATAAACTAAACAGCGGCGCCGCTCAAAATGTGTTACAGATCGGGAAGAAGACTAAAGCACCTCAGATGAATGGATCGATGGATTGTTGGCTGGCGAGGACAGACTTGAGCGAAGGAGACGATAAACCGACCTTGTCGCTTCGTTCGCTGGGAAGTCACAAGACGGTCATTGGTTCCTTTGTATTTCGCAAAAGGAGCTGAATGCGCATCAGTTGTTCCGGTCCTGTTGTTCCAACTTTCCAACGAGTTTCTTCATGCCCGCCCATTCATCGGCAGGCACGTCTTCCGGAGTACCGCTGAGACCCTTTCCGACTTCAAAAACAGTAACCACGCCGTCGAGCCCACCCGTTGCAATGCGCCTGCCCTCGCGCTCTTCCCAGGCTACCTTGTTGAGACTTCTCGTCAGTATGCCTCCACGGCCCTTGGACGGTGTCGTCTTCACGACGGGGACTTCGGTGTCCGTGTAGAGGTCCCAGACTTCGAGGTTTCCAGCACCATCGACGAGAGAGAAGACACCAGGGCGATGAGGGGACCATCGTGCGTCATACACGACATCCTCCCGATTAATGTCAAGGATAGGCTCCACGACTTGAGTTGGGGCTATGGCAGAGGTTGCAGGGGCAGTCGTGGCCGGCGGACGGATGCGCCAGAGCCTCACGCTCCAATCCAGACTAGAGCTAAGCATGAGATCGCCCAGATCAACTGGACCGCGAGCGGGATGGAATGCAGTGGACATGATCGGGGCTTTATGACCGCGATACACGAGGCGATGGTCGGTTCCAGCTTTGGCACCGGCTCTGTCGTAACGATGGCATGGGTAAATCCCTCCTTCCTCAGTACCAACGATGAAGAACGTGGGGTCGGACTGCGGGAATGACATCGTCGTGGGTGCAAGATCTTCTGTTTTCGAGGGCGGGGGAGTCGATAGTTCGAGGTATTCCTGAGGCTGAGAAAGCATGTCGACCGTCCAACCACAAACTACGCCATCAGTTGATGCGGTCAAAATGTTATGGGCATTCTGTGTTCCAATGATGGAAATACTGTAGACCGGGTGAGTATGCCCAGAGCCAGTCAACGGCGTCTTTTGAACGGGAGCGCCACCGCCTGCGCGCGACGACCGAGTATCCCAAAGCAGTACCTGCCCCGAGTACGAACCGCCAACAATGAGATTAGGGTGGAATGGAGAGAATTTGGCGGCTAAGATGTCGGAGGTAGAATGAAAGACATACTCCGGCCGGGAGTGAAGGTGTTGGTTCCAAATCTGGACGAGACCATCGGGTTCATGAGGAGCAGAAGGGTTCTTGGTGTATGCAGCCAGAACAAGTTCGGGGAACTGTGGAGATGTCAGATCTCAATGCGAAGCTCATAATGATGATGAAAGCGACCAACCTTTGGCGAAAAGCTAAGATCACTGATCATACGCTTCTTGCTCCATCGCTCGTCCCAGAACTGGCAGACCTCCCTGATTCCGCGCCGTTTCCGTCCATGTTCATCATCATCTTCTAGTTCACCATCCACGCCCCCAAGCTCGTAGTCGGCCAGCACATCGTATTCCTCGTCCAGTGCCCGTTCAATGACTTTAGCGGATCGTTCAACGAAATCCAGAAAGTCCTCAGAGGACGTGACAGCCTTTAATTCGTCATCATCTAATGTACGGAGCGGGTAACGCAAATTTAAGGCCTCGGCGCTGGCTTCATTGTCAGCAAGCTGTTGAGTGGCCTGCAGCTCCTCTTCGATCTCTTTTCGGAGCTTCCTCCGGATTTCTTCGTCGCGTTCGCTATCTCTCTTGCTGCCATTGTTCTCTTCATCGTCTGACTCTGTGGCGCCTGACGGTTTCAAGTCGTCCGTCTGGACTCCTTTACTATATGTAACAACTTCGGGTTTGGGCTCAGGGGCGGGCTGTGGTTCAGGAGCCGCGACAAACGGCTCGGTTCCGACCGTTTGAACAGCAATTGACTGTGAATGTGGTCGCGTAGTTGGACTGAATGCTTCCGTGTTGTCGCCACTGAGTTGGCTAGCGCTCAGGACTGAATTAGGCCTGCTTCCTTTCCGTGACAGGCCATCGGCCCCGTGGCTGATGGAAGCCGACCCCGGGCGGTCAACCAAACGTGAGATAAGATCATCGAGCTCAGCTCGACTATCTGCGCGGCTGGGGGCAGGAGAGACAACCTATAAAGACAAGTAGACATAAGCGCTGGCCCTTCTCAAGTGACATGGGCGACCATGAGTGAGGGGACAGGGTCTCTCTACCTCAGAAGCATCGCCGGTGTTAGCTCGGGTTTGCGAGAATTCCTTCTGCCGCAGCTCTCTCTGCCGCTTCAGTTCGGCGAGTTTGGCTCTCTTGGCAAGGATCTCGGCCTTGCGCTGTTGCATAGCCGAGGACATGATGGGGAGGAGGGGGAGTAACGGAAGGTGAAACCCTCCAGACCACGAACTGGCTGGTCTTTCAACTTGGGGACGAAGTAAATAAAGTACGGGGAGGGTTCGTTCGCGTTCCCTTGAACTTCCCCGTGTCTGTCCCGCGCCCAGGGAAACCCGGGTTGGTGATGACATAAGCGCCAAAGGGCCCGACGGTCCGGAAAAACTCGCGACAGGAACTTCGTCTTTACCAGCTCTCTAAAGTATCCTGTCCGATTGCCAGCCATTGACAGTCGATCCCTTCATAACGGTCGCTCGGAATCCGGCCTTGCTATCTCTCGTCTCACTGATCTGTTCCATTCGCCGCTCCGGAGGCCAGGGTTCTCATAAGATGGCTACCACACAGGGTGTCAACGTGAGTGTCATCAGTATCCGCCCTGGACCCATTGTCGTGATACAGGACCCTCGAGGTTAACCCGCTCCCTTCGCCCATCCAGGTTCTGCGCTATTCGGCCCTTGTTGCCGGTCTCGTCTACGGTTTCTACCACCAGTCTTCGATCACCGCCACTGCTAAGCACGCCGAGGCCGAACGCGAATATGCCCGCCAGGAGCGCCTGATCGAGCAGGCCAAGGCTGAGTGGAGGAAGAAGACGGCGCCCAAGGACACGCAAAACAGCGGAGGTACGTCTTGGTGCTAGCTTTTCCATACTCTGAATCCCCTTTACCAGTGCCGAATTGCCGTCCCCATTGGAACCCCCCAGCGGCATGTACCGGACCCCCCAATGCTAACTAGGGAACTTGCACAGTCATTACGGATCCCGAGGACAGCCGGTTTGACCTTGAGGCTTTCCTGAAGATGAAGGCTGGCGAGAACTAGAATGGAATCGAAGTATACGGCACGCAGATGAAGTTGCAGTTATCTCTCTAAGAGTCGTACCTCTTTGAAGGTATAGGCGAGAGATCTCGGGTCGGCCCCGATTATGTATTATTGTTTGGTCTAATTTCCCAGAGTCGTGTCATTGCGAGCGAAAGGAATGATTTTTCTTTTTCCCCTATAGACATCATCCCCGCATCTTGTACATACCCTGGGCTGTTGTGCGTCTGTATCACTACAGTTGGACCAGAAGAGCAAGAGATTCTGTATGCTTCGGTTTCATTACTGATCTTCTTCTCGTACTGAGTGCGCTTGCGCAATATTATGCCCATTGTTATGGGGCTGTTCTATGATATGCTCCGTGACGCCGTCAAGTCGTTACGTGCGGACCCGGGATGTTGCGCTCTAGATATGTAGTCATCCAATCTCTCCGTCATGTCCCGCCTATTACTGTAGGATAATCGAGTTCGCAAGGTAGCCCCTGTTTTTGCAGACTCCTAGATACTCTTAACTCCGGCGATTTCCGATCAAGGCCATGACCTGACTCAGTTCATTATACAACCGAACATCCTTCTGAAGGACTTCGTCGACAATCGGTTTTGGGTGCAACAGCCCTTTATTCTGATCCCATGTCCATCCATACGCTATGAACTTCTGCATGATGGCCGGGTCACCCTGTTGTGCGGCGGCAGCATCCAGACCGAGATAGGTTGCAGCGGCTGCTGGCCTTATCGCCTCATAGGCTCTGCTGACTTCCTTTAACGTCTTTTCCTGGAAATGGGCTAGGTAAGGTTAGTAATATGAAAGATGTAGCAAAGGCAAGGCATATTCGAGAGGATGGTTTGCCTTACATTCATAACTCTGAACTATGGGTCGGAGTGCTTCTGGCCATGGCAGTTCTCGCAGAATCTTATAAACTTGTTCATATTTCCGTTGCCAGACCGCCCGGAGAAGTGTCAAGCAGTTCTGTAGTGACGAGTCATTTTGTAGTAATTCTTGTGGCACGCGTTGTGTCGATAAACGAGCTTCGGGACTGAGTAACTGCGGATTAGCGATTTGCCAACTGTGGGGGAGTAGCTCGGGATATCTCACATTTTGTCTACGAGAAGGTTGGAGAAGAAGAATGTAGAATAGTAAAGACTGAGTAGCTCCGTGTGGTTGCCCTTTTTCATGGAGAGCAGACAAGCTTCGCTTTCATAGTTTGATAGTGTTTCGTAGAGCTCCATCGGCGATTTAGCAGAGGCAACGACGGCGGTCAGTTGCTCTTGTGTGAGTGGGGGAAGATCCATGGTGAGATGACCGTTGAGCGATCGCGAGAGTTTTCAAGTATTAATTCTCAAATGAATATTTCTTGAAACAGGGGGTAACGATTCTGATGTTCGACTGATGGTCGACTAGACTTGCGCTGATACTAAGCACTGACGGTGCGGGGACGTTTCGGAGGAAAACCCCCCAAACCCGCAACGGGAAAAGGGAACTAGTAACAAAGTATTGTGGTTTGACTTGGGTGACTTACGTACCTGGCGCCAAGCCCCAGAAGAGACCACCTTGCGAAGCTCTCGACACTCTTCAATTCATTCCCCCCGTTCACATCACCACCCAACCCTTCCCTCTCATCAGCTCCCGGGACAGGTCGAGGGCTGTTTGCTCATCTTCTTTCCCATTGGATTTTGATTCTTTTCTCCCCTGGCCATTATGGCCGAATCACCCCTCGATGTCCTCTTGAAGGGTAACTCCGGCAGAACAACACGCGGCCTTCTGCGGATTATCATTCTAGCTACCATTGCCGCCGCTGCTGTGTCCAGTCGTCTGTTCAGTGTTATCCGTATGTCTCTTGATTCATATAAATGATCAATTGAATGACCGTCACTAACATTGACCCTCTAGGATTCGAGAGTATTATTCACGAGTGTATGTTTTGATACCAATCCTCCATCTATACCTTGACGCTACCGCGGATCCGGCATTCGACACCGTGTGCAGGCAGCTCCATTCAGAGGCAACCGATGCTAATGTAGCTCCCTTCTACAGTCGACCCCTGGTTCAACTTCCGCGCAACAAAATACCTGGTCTCCCATGGCTTTGAGAGCTTCTGGGACTGGTTCGACGACCGTACGTTCTTCCTGCCAAGCATGCTTTACCTGCATATACTGATTGACGATGCTGCTCAGGAACATGGCACCCCCTGGGACGTGTCACTGGTGGCACGCTATACCCCGGTCTGATGGTGACCAGCGGTGTTATCTACCACGTCTTGCGTTTCCTCACCATCCCTGTCGATATCCGTAACATCTGTGTCTTGCTTGCCCCGGGCTTCTCCGGTCTGACTGCGCTGGCAATGTACTTTCTGACTCGCGAGATGACGACATCCCCCTCCGCCGGTCTTCTTGCGGCTGCTTTCATGGGTATCGTCCCCGGATACATCTCTCGTTCCGTCGCGGGCAGCTACGATAACGAGGCCATTGCTATTTTCCTGCTGGTGTTCACCTTCTTCCTGTGGATCAAGGCTGTCAAGAACGGCTCCATCATGTGGGGTTCTCTGGCAGCTTTGTTCTATGGCTACATGGTGTCTGCCTGGGGTGGTTATGTCTTCATCACTAACTTGATCCCTCTGCACGTTTTCGTTCTTCTGTGCATGGGCAGATACAGCTCCCGTATCTATATCAGCTACACCACCTGGTATGCTCTGGGAACTCTGGCCAGTATGCAGATTCCTTTCGTCGGATTCCTGCCAATTCGCAACAGTGACCACATGTCCGCACTCGGTGTGTACTCTTATTGTCTGTAGAGAAGATAGTTTGTACTGACCTTGCCAGGTGTCTTTGGCCTCATTCAGCTCGTGGCCTTTGCTGACTTCGTCCGTGGTTTCATCCCGGGCAAGCACTTCCAGAGACTTCTGACTACCATGATCATCGTTGTCTTCGGAATCGCTTTCGTCGGACTTGTCGTCCTCACCGTGTCCGGAGTGATTGCCCCTTGGAGCGGTCGTTTCTACTCTCTGTGGGATACCGGCTATGCCAAGATCCACATCCCTATCATTGCCTCCGTCTCCGAGCACCAGCCCACCGCTTGGCCCGCTTTCTTCTTTGATCTGAACTTCTTGATCTGGCTCTTCCCTGCTGGTGTCTACATGTGCTTCCGCGATCTCAAGGATGAGCATGTCTTTGTCATCATCTACTCGGTGCTTGCCAGTTACTTCGCCGGTGTCATGGTTCGTCTGATGTTGACCCTGACCCCTATTGTTTGTGTTGCGGCTGCTCTGGCCCTCTCCACCATTCTCGACACGTATGTGTTCGCGAAGAACGGCCCCAACCCCCGCGCCAAGGCGAACGAGGACAACTCGGACGGTCTTCGTTCCACCAGGAAGCCCAATGTCGGTGTCACGTCCTACCTGTCCAAGGCTGTCATGACCTCCTCCGTTGTCATCTATCTGCTTCTCTTCGTTGCGCACTGCACCTGGGTCACCTCGAACGCTTACTCCTCCCCGTCTGTGGTTCTCGCGAGCCGTTTGCCTGATGGAAGCCAGCACATTATCGATGACTACCGTGAGGCGTACTACTGGCTCCGCCAGAACACTGAGCACAACGCCAAGATCATGTCCTGGTGGGATTACGGCTACCAGATTGGTGGTATGGCGGATCGCCCTACCCTGGTTGACAACAACACGTGGAACAACACCCACATTGCCACTGTTGGTAAGGCGATGAGCTCTCGTGAGGAGGTCAGTTACCCCATCCTCCGTCAGCACGATGTTGATTACGTGCTGGTGGTGTTTGGTGGATTGCTGGGCTACTCCGGTGACGACATCAACAAGTTCCTGTGGATGGTCCGTATCGCCGAGGGTATCTGGCCCGACGAGGTCAAGGAGCGTGACTTCTTCACTGCCCGCGGTGAGTACCGGGTGGATGACGGTGCCACCCCCACCATGCGTAACAGCTTGATGTAAGATATCCCCTATTTGCCATGGCATAGATACGACACTAACAACGACTGCAGGTACAAAATGTCCTACTACAACTTCAACTCCTTGTTCGGTCCCGGCCAGGCCGTTGACCGCGTGCGTGGATCTCGACTCCCCGCGGAAGGCCCTCAGCTGAACACGCTCGAGGAGGCATTCACCAGTGAGAACTGGATCATCCGTATCTACAAGGTCAAGGACCTCGACAACCTCGGCCGTGACCACAACAACGCGGTGGCCTTTGACAAGGGCCACAAGCGCAAGCGCGCCACCAAGCGCAAGGGCCCTCGTGTCCTGCGGACCGAGTAAAGGGCCTGGTGTCGTTGATAGATACCAGGTTGGGTGTAAAATCGATCCCTTCTTCATTTCTTAGCATGTCATTTTCAATTCCATGTTCTTGTACGTGTCATATCACCATATAGGCGGAATTATAGAAGTTGTGCATTTGGTTAGAAGCGTAGACTACTTCTTCTTTCTTCTACCCTTAAGCAACCAAGCTGAACCTTGTCAGAATGATAATGACAAATTAAACACGGATATCCTTCGACTAATATACAGGTAAATAATAATTAGACGCGAGCAGAGATTTCCACTTGATCAGCAACACCATCTACACACATCCATCTCTTCCCTTCCCTAGTATCACACCCTCCCCTCACACGTCCAACCACCCCCAAACCCAGCACAAACCCAACACACAAAAAAAGATAAATATACAGTATATTCATAGTTATTCAAACCTAACTCCAATCCCAATACACCATCAACAACCAATCAATTAAATCAAATCAATCCATGCACACACACACACACACACACACACAGCTCGATCAGCATACGCTGAAACCGGAAATATAATAAAACAACGACAAACAGTATTCCGCAAATGCAATATTCAAATCAATTATTGCTTCTTAGCCGGCTCATCGGGAACCTTCACGTCCGAGAACTCATCCTGTCCGACGGCGCGGATGGTGTAGGCGTCTATACAATAGAGATGATGACATTAGCTGTTGTGTTTCCTTGAGTGGATTCAGGGGCTGTAATGGGGTAGCATTGCGCATGCGCACAACAACAATAATAATCAAGGACAAACGCTGAGTATGAAGGAGGGTAGTAAGTAGGAGGTATGGAAACGTACAAACACTAAGGGTAAAAGACACCAAGGCCAGACCGGTCAAGGCATTCTTGAACAGATACGGACGACGGGCACGGAGAAGAGCCGCTCCGGCGCGGTAGTCTTTGCCGTAGTAGGTTGAGTTGAAGCTGTATTTTCCATTGACGGTATGAGTCAGTGTGTCTCTCTATCTTGCGATGGATGGGATGGGGTGATTCGGGGTAGTAGGTGGTAGTGGGGTGTTCTGTCTGGGATGGGGGTGTAATAAGCATTGGAAGGGATATTGGGACGTACATTCCGGCAGGCATTGTGAAAAGGATGAGTCCGTGCTGACTGGTTGAGGCTTGGAGATGAGTGAGGGTTCTGGAGAGGGCGCGCCGTTTTTTCTTTTCGGAGGTGGACGGGGAACTTTTGAAGAGGATCGACTGACGCCTTCATTGGGGGGATTCGGCCCGGGCTTGGCGGGCTGGTGGTGGCTGCTGGCCGAGGCGGAGCCGCGGGGATTTAATTTGTTTGTCTCTATACTCCGTATGCTGGTTTTTATTGCATGATGCTCTCATGTGTCGTTGTCTTGATGGATTTCTTATGTTTTAGATGCAGTAGATTGTGCTATAAATGTTGGATTAGCATCAGGTCGGACTCTCTTGAAATTGTAGTAGTATCAGTTGCTAATTATATATTTCTTATAAGGCTACTACTACTCTTAGTAGTACTTGATCACATTCAAATAATCATGACAGTAGTAGTAGTAGTAGTATTAGTATTATGGGAGAGTTCCACCTGTATGATGCTTTTAATTTACCGCCTATCGCCTTGCTGTGAGGTCTTCTGTACTACTTACTATCTCCTACCTCTCATTACTTCATCTTGTACCTAAGACAAAGGATCACGCAATGGTTATATACTCTGCTAGAAAGTCTCAGGCTATAAGGAAGAGAATATAATAATAGCATTTATCAGCAGTATCTATACCTGTTCCACTGTCGTGGTTACGACTATCCGCTGCTGGCTTTCGTTATCGCAACTCTCAAGATCGAGCTTACCCTTGCCCTTAAATTTATGGGCCCAGTGACTCCGTTCGCTGAGCTGGTATCCGCTATGACCAGGACCGTTTCTCCAATCTCGGCTCGGATCGGTGCTCTTTTTGCTGCTGTTTAGCCCCGGAATGTTTCTAAGAAGCACGCGCAACGAAGGTAAAGAACCGGTGATTAGGCCGAGCGCATATTCGACGTTCATCAATATAAGTGGAACAGCACCAACGTCTAGGATGCGCGGTTAGTGGAGTAGATTTGTATCGAAGAAGAGAAGTGAGACCGTACATGTATAGTCAGTTGAGTTAACCTGGAAGTCCAACAGCGGGATGCGTGCCAGCCCGGCACTGCATGCCACAAATCCTATGATCCATCAACCATTGATTTTCAGGGAAGTGAAAGAAAAGTTCGCAAACATACCAAGACAAAACAGTCCAACAATGAATAAACGACGCTGAATAGGCATTTGAAGCTTCCAGATAGTCGGCATCGGAAGAGTGATAATGCTCACATCGAATAATAACATCAGTATTGCCTGATACAGCTGGAGGTCCTCTAACACAGCATTGGAAAAGCACTTCGAGTTAGGAATGGTCGAATCCCACGCTGCCTGCACTGGCCAGCACTGGAAGATCAAGGGTAATTCCCCCGAAATTGTCACGATGACCATGAGCACCATGATTCCCAGACCAATCCGCCGGATCCATTTGGTTGGGAAAACCCGCATGATGAAAACAGTAAGGCTACATTTGACAGCCAAGGCCACCCAGAGATACAGGCAGAACAAGATATATACGTACTGAAACAGTAAGTCAGCGTCTATAGAAGAACAGAAAAGGCACTAACCTTCTCCGTCATGATCATATCTGCAGTAGGAACAGTATCCTGATGGTAGCCAATCCCGTACGTTGTAAGAATGATGGAGAGGGCCGCGAACACAAGGACCATGGCCTGCTCAGTGCGGTTAAGAGCGGGTTCATCTTCATCCTCTGTGAAAATAGTACATACCAGGGCAAGAAGAACAAGACAATCATCCAGACCGAGAGCGTGCATGATAAATCCCCGAAGATAGAGCTAGGGAGACGCAGGTCGATCAGCCCGTGTATGCTGCCATTGCGGAAACGTAAACATACTCTAAGACAGCAAACAATCAGGGTGAGAAGACCGAATGCGCCAATCACTCCCCTCACTGTGTACACCATTGGAGGCGCCGGATCAGGAAGATGCATCGGAGAGCCATCTGTACCGGTCATTTTCTTGTCAGCCGCTATGGTGACTTCCTTGGCTTTTGTTTTATTTCCTCATCCGGAGCTGATTTGAACGAGTATAGCAACAGTAAAGAGGCATCCGCAAGCAAAAAACCCGACAATAGCCCCCTGACCGGCGTTTCTGTCAAGATAAATCCAGACATCGCGACATCCCATTTCCTGAAATGATTGAGTGCGTGTACGTGCAGGGATCCGTCCCCCATGCGGCCGACTGCAGGGTAGATATCCTGTTAAAAAGACATAATAGAAATGATCATTAATCTATCGAACAGGGAAGCCAATCCTGAAAGTGACCAAGTGGGCCGGTGCTGTGCCACTTTGTTGTTTGAGGTGAACATGAACCATCATCCGATTCGGGGCTGTCATAGTGGCCCACTTGGCGCATGAACCGGGGAGTGACCGTTGGTCGCGGAGGCTGCCACGGCCAAGATGGTGTCAATGCCTCGCCCATTGACATAAAGATTAAAGAGATATGTTACACAGTAAAGGTCAGCCATCGATGATCATAATCAAGGTGTAATGCTGCGAGATTGGCTCTTGGACTTTGTCATGAACCCGCATCAGCCGGCTCAGCCCTGACTGGCTCGAATCTGATGGCATCTTGCACCTTACTGGGAGACGCAATCTATGTATGCGGCGGCGTCAGACTAACAACAACCCCGGTTACACCGTTTCTTTGTTATCTGGTCTATTAATTTCGGAGTTGAACGTCCGTAGTGGGCTGCTTTAAAGGGGATTCAGGAGGGATGGGACGACCGCAACCTGTCAAGGAAATGGTTCGCATCAAAGATCTTGTCTGAACGGCGAGGATCATCACCTCGTTGACCAACATCAAACTCCGTGACTGTATTATTTCACTTGAATTCTCCTCATATCAATCTTCCAGCATGTCGGATGGCCCTGGTCTGCTGGCTTTAAGCCCGCTCGACCACATCCCGGCGAAGCTCTTCCTGCCGTATATCCTGTACTTCGACACGACCGACACGCAGACAGCCCTCTCCACCCTCCAGAAAGGAATTGACAGGTTGATTTCAGAATTGCCCTGGCTCGCCGGAGATGTGGTTCTCTATAGTGTGCCAGACGGGCCCAAGAACCGAATGCATATTGCGCCCCCACGTGTTCCTCTTTCTGATGTCCCTATGCTGAAGACCAAGCACTTTGACGGCGATGCAGACTCTCATTCTCACCCGATCCAGTCCTATCTGCCTCTGCCCACATTTATCCCAGCCTCCCAACAGCGTCCTGTTCTTCGCTTTCAGGCAAATGTATTTCATAGCAGGATCATTGTGGCCATGTCCTTCTGGCACAGCGTCTTTGATGGTACCGGGGCCGGTGTGATCCTGGAAGCAGTCGCCGAGTGCTGCAAGTCAACCAACGAAGAAATCACAACCAGCCTCGCGCAGACTATCGCGAAGACCCATGATGATCTCCGGAAGGAAGTCGCAAAATTTCCATCTAAATGTGTGAAGCGCCTCGACCACAGCATTGAGTTGGGAACGCCTGTTTTTGATCCCAACATTTCCACTGAGCAATGGAATGCAATGGAATCTGCCTTGTCCTCTATGGTCGAGACAAAGCGATACACCTTCAGCTCCGAGAAAGTAGCCAAGGTGAAGGACATTTGTACTCAACTCATGCCTCAGTTGCAGTCCTCAAAGTGGATCTCTAGCAACGATGTTATTACTGCAACACTGGCCATCTGTGTCGACCGAGCCCTTCACCCGGAGCGAGCAGACAGAACCCAAAGCGCCGATTTCCTGATGGCCGTTGATTTGCGAAGCCGAGTTGATCCTCCGCTACCAGAGACCTACCTGGGGAACGCGATCTTCCCTGTTCATGATGATATCTATTCTGAAGAGATGGCAGGCCAGACAGGAAATGATGCAGATACCCTACATCTAGCTCAGTTGGCACTGCGTATCCGCATGAAGCTTACAACCATGGACAAGACTCTCATGTATAGCGCATCAGCCGCCGTCGCCGACTATGAAGATTGGACCAAGGTTGAAGCAGGACCCGCGGGGATCATTGTAACCAGCTGGAGAGGTCTCAAGGTCTTTTCGCTAGATTTTGGCGCTGGACTGGGCCACATTGTAGACTTCGAGCCCGGGCTCACGCTTGTCCCTGGTGGGTGTATCTTTCTGCCGTCACGGACGTCCTTGGAGAAAAGTGGGTCGTCTTCAATGTGGGAAGTATGCATCACCCTGAAAGCTGGGGATTCCCAATTGCTTGAGAAGGATCCACTGTTCAACCGGATCTTGGCATGATAATGGCTGGTGAAATGTAGTATATGGCTATCTGGACTGTACTACGTGACGGTGTTGACGGAAGTTCTCTTTGACTCTACTAGCATTGTTCGCATTGTCGCTAAGTTGAGGTTGCCAGGTACAAGGCACATTAGACAGTGTTAGCAGTGCTGCTTAGTATATTCACAAGGTGCTAGGTTTCATCTTATACTGGACCCATGGGTGTGCTCGAGGCATTTTAATGCCGGCCGATCATCAATAAATCTAGGGTAGAATCCCTTAACACCTGCATAATGAGTATTTATACTAAGGATGCATCGGGGCCAAATGCCATTGTCAACGTCCAATTAGGCACATTGATTTTGAGCTCTTCCTGGATGAGACTGTTGGTTCAATTAGAAAGGATGTCAATAGATATGGAATGAGGATGGGGGGACAGAATAAGGGAAATGACGGTGGATGCCGCGAGACAGACTCACGTGACCATTGTGTCAAGCGCCGGCCAGATTCCTGCTTCGGCTTCCGTCCATCCATTCATTCAGCTTGACTTCTTCCACCAACAACAACTACCATTATCCTCCTTTCTTCCTCCCCTTCTGATTTCTCGGTTGGTATTTCTTACCTACATCACCTCTTTGTTTCCGCCCGAGTCATCATTGCTTTCTTCTCATATTTACCAATCACCGGTACTCACCTTTACGCTGTATGCGCCGCGTCGGCAGATTATCTAGTCGCATTCTAAGCCCGGTGCTTGCACCGTGAATTTCCCCTTCCCCTGCGTAGACAAACCCAACCAGTTCCCCTTTTGCTTTACAAATTCGATCTTTCAAACCTCGTCCTTCCTTCCATCTGGCCGGCTCAGTCGGCCATTGAACCAGTCGTAATGGCTCAGTCGACCGATCACCTCGTCGATCAGATCGCCCAGCTCAACGCCGCCCGAAACCTCGTCCTTGGCGATGCTGCCTTCTACCCACAGATCGTGAACGGTGTTCTTCCGTTAATTGGCGCAAGTACACGCCTGGAGTTGCGACGATGGGGATCGGAGTTCCTGGCCGAGACGTTTGCCAGTCCTGCGTTGGCTTCGACTCAGAAGGAACAGTTGGCCCGAACGTGCTGCAGACATTACGAGAGATATTGGAATTGCCGGAAAAGGATCCCATGGTTTTGAAACATATAGTGCAGAATGCGGCCAGTTTGTATCCGCTGGTGTTTAGGCATATGTAGGTGGCTGATGCTTGCTCTGTTTCGCCCCCCTCCTCGGGAGAGCTCTCGTAGATTGCTGCATGGTGCTGCAATGTGATTTAGAGCACCCATTGGGCTTCGCAGTGTACTAACGCTTGACCTTGCAGGTATCAACCACCCCCGCAGAGGCAACCGCCTGGGAGAACATGACAGCCATCAAACAGGACATCCTGGCGTCGATGGGACTCCTTCCCTTTCCCCGTCAAGATCTGCTGTATCAAGTTCGTACAGCGAGTCATCCACGTGCAGGACGCATGGCCCCATCGCCGACCCTAGAGTATGTTCACTGAGATCTTGCGTATTTCGCCGAGATTAACGCTGTCTTCTTAGCGACCCGAGCAGAATGAGACCTCCTTGGCCATTGTGCCCCGAAACCATGCTATCCTGTCTCTCCCAAACCTGGAAGCAGAGGCGTCCGGATTGCTGGATCGACTTCTCTCTGTCTTTCAAGAAGAATCAAGGTACTTAAGATCCCTCTTATTCGCGGTAGTCAATCTACGATATCGCTAACACTTTCATAGTGATCCCCTTCTCGTCAATGCGACATTGAACTGCCTGGCCGTCCTCATCCGAACCCGACCGTCCGTGGGCAATAAGATCATCAACGCGATCATGA